TTTGGACATTCATCCCAATGAACATCCCAGTAGCAAGCACTGTACATTAGAGGCTCATTTTTTAAAAGAAGCCACAATGTACTTTGAAAGGAAGAAGTACACTTGGAGATAACTGGCATAACCAATGGAGCCAAGCCACCTTTTATGTCAATGTGTCCCTGCCAGAGGAACAGCCTGCTTGTCGGACTGTCATGTGTTCTATTAATGATGCCTTGTGACTATATTTATGAAATATCACAGAACATTAGCAAGGAAGCATTTGTGCCTAGAATCACCATGTCTCAGTTCTCCATTGCATGCCAATTAAATTCTGTACATTTTGTCTCCTCTTTCGATTCACATGAGTCACTTCAAAACATTTAAGTGGCAAAAGCTGGCCTGAGCAATGGCAGAGATGTTGCTGTTTACTATTAGGGACATTCCATGTTTTAACTCGTAACAACTGCTGTGGAGGGTTTTGTCCTAGAAGATATTCTGTTTTTATTTTGGTTTCAAATTGAGATGTGTTGGGGTAATGGCAGAGCTAATTTAGACAAGCTCCCAAATAGCTGGGCAAATATTAAGGATGGTTTTGCAAGAATCTGCCTTAAAAGAAAATGAAACATTTGGCTGCTGTTTTATATAGCACAGAAGAGTTGTGGTGCCATACTTCATTCACATCTTAATGTGCACCAGAAGTGACTCCATTCCCTCTTTTAAGGTGCCTAAACTATAGCCTTCCCATTAAGTGAATTTGTTTTTTGTTTGTTTTTTGTTTGTTTTTTGTTTGTTTTGTTGTGTCAGGAGCAACTTGACAAACTGCAAGTCACTTCTGGTTTGAGAGAATTGGCCATCTATAAGGACGTTGCCCAGGGGACACCTGGATGTTTTTTAATGTGTTATCATCCTTGTGGGAGGCTTCTCTCATGTCCCTGCATGGGGAGCTGGAGCTGACAGAGGGAGCTCACCCGTGCTCTCCACGGATTCTAACCTGCGACCTATCTGTCTTCAGTCCCACCAGCACAGGGGTTTAACCTACTGCACCACCGGGAGCTCCTATTAAGTGAATGAAAGGAAAAGACTACCTACCTCAAACCCTTTTGATTTCAAAGGCTGGAGTAATTGTGTTAGCCTCTTGGTTTCTGATACTTTGAGCTCCCACATGTTGCATTGGGCCATATTGAGAAAAGAGAGTTAACTAGATACAGTGTTACTTGAGTCTTGAATCTAAAGATCTGTTGATACTGACTTCACATTGTGAATTCTTATCACGTTGTTGAGACTGATGGGTTAGTGCCAGAATTGTGTTGTTTACATTTAAGTGTGCCCAGTTATAGATATTATAATTTTATATATATATATATATATATATATATATATATATATATATATATATATATATAGTTATATTATATGTAATATTACTAATAACATTACAATAGAATGATATAGTACAATATAGTAATATATAATACAATATAGTAATATATAATATTGTACTATGCTAATAATATATATATTGTGTGTGTGTGTGTGTGTGTGTGTGTGTGTGTGTGTGTATATATATATATATATATATATTAGCCGCTCTGAGCCCCCTTCAGGATGAGAAGTGCGGCATATAAATGTCGTAAATAAATAAATAGATTTTGCTGTCACAGCATGGCAGATGGGATTGTGGGTCACGTTGGAACAAATTGTGATGAAATTGGAAAGGAGGTATCCTAGCTATATACCCTTCAGACCTTGTGAAGTACTGCAATGGGCAGTAGGCAGGAGCTGTGGTGGCACAATGAGTTACACCCTTGTGCTGACTGAACTGCTGACCTGAAGATTAGTGGTTTGAATCTGTGAGACAGAGTGAGCTTCCATCTGTCAGCCCCAGCTTCCGTTGTGATGACATGAGAGAAGCCTCCCACAGGATGATAAAACATCCAGGCGTCCCCTGGGCAACATCTTTGCAGATGGCCAATTCTCTCACATCAGAAGCGACTTGCAGTTTCTCAAGTTGCTTCTGACGTGATAAAAAAGCACAGGGCAATCTCATTATTTGAATTTTAGCATAACCAATATACCGTTTGGAGATTATGTCTCTGACAATGACTGGCTGATGTCCTAATGTCACAGAAGGCAGGAGTATCTCCAGCTGCCATGAGTGGAGCAACTCAGAGCCTATGAAAGGCCAAAACAGCCAATAGAAAAAAGAAACTGCAAGCGGAAGTGATATAGGTTTAGGAAAATATGGGCTTATACAGTGGTTCTCAACCTGTGGGTCCCCAGGTGTTTTTGCCTATAACTCCCAGAAATCCCAGCCAGTTTACCAGCTGTTAGGATTTCTGGGAGTTGAAGGCCAAAATATCTGGGGACCCACAGGTTGAGCATCACTGGGCTTAGAGAAGGCAGTATTGTAAGGCCAAAGAGATGGGGACTAAAAAAAAGGAAAATAAATTGGTCCAGAGAACCAAAGGAAAGTAAAGACTGCGGCAGAGATTTACTTCAAAAAGAAAACCAAGAAGACTTATGAGAAGGAAGTGAAGAGACAGGGAATTGCAATAAGGTGTCATCCCTTGGGCTATTTGCTTCCAGGATCATGTGTTTGGGGAAAGAAGTCCTACAGCACATCCCTAGGGCATAGCAATGAGACAACCTCACCGAGACAGTGCAGTATATATCTTCACGATCATAGTAAACATAGACTTCATTGAGAGAAGGAATGGCACGGGATCAATGTCTGCTTATTTCTCTTAGCAACTACTTCTAACAGACTGCTTAGCAACCTTAAAAACTCAGGACAGTAAACATGACCTATTAAGAAACAGATTGTATATCTCTCATATGGGTGACAGATATATAATTGCTTTGAAATCCATGTATAGTAGTAGCCATGTTCTAAACAAACCACAGTAACTCAATTGTTGTTGTTTGTTTGCCTCCTGTATAAATTTGCTTTGCAGACAGAAACATTTGCAGTTGTTGACCATCACACATTTCAGTTTGATGACTGAAAGAAAAGTGTGTGTGTGTGTATGGAGGGGGGGAGAGCTAATCTCTGTAAATAACTCCATATAGCAAATATATCTTTGAAGGAACAGAAACATGGGATTGTGTAATCTTCTGCTCGCACATATCCATAATGAAGTACAATCAAGGTAGCTGGAAGCTATCAGGCAACTTACATTGGTTCTATGTTGACTCCTCCTAGCCATACTCTACTGAGAAAGCTGCCAGATCCAACCTCCTTTCCCTGGTTGTGCTTTCCCCCATCGTTCTCTATTCCCGGTACTGTGCCATTGCACCTGCTGTTAGCATTGCCTTAGCAACAGAGCTGTCTATGTTCTAGAAGCCAACCACCTTCTCAGCGTGCCAGCCTTTTGGCAGATGGCATGGCCAGCTCAAGAGACACATTTCCAGGCACTTCTAGAACTGCTTGTGTTTCTGAGTGCAGGCCAAATGAAATACGTTGCTGTCCAGATTGAAACCAGATCAAGCAGAATATATTCGCTGAATTGACATATGGAATAGGCACACCAACTTATTTCCTGCTAATTGTCCTTCGAAACAGATTGAGTTGGACCAGTTATGCCATGGCTAACAACCCACATGAAACTTCCAAAATTAATAGCTGTCACTGTAATTCAAGGCTCCAAACTTTGAAGAACACAATAGTGATAGCCAGCCATAGGACCATCATTGTCCTATTAGAACGCTTTGGAACTCTTTACCATGTGATGCCATTAATGTACATCACTGCTTACACACACTGGGATAATGCTATGATTTTGTAGCTCATGAGTGTATAGCTGGGCTTTTATTGGCATTATGAGGGTTGAATGAAAAGTAATGCCTCCACCTTCGTAACTCCTCAACAGATGGCAGTACTGGTATGCGGCAGGTACTGGCTTGTTCAGTAGACTCTCCTCTACAGTTCCATTTTGACAGGAAGCCTTAGCACTGAACAGTTGTGTTGTTAAAGTGGAAAGTATGGAACTCTGCGCAGATGGTCGGTCAATGTGTCTTAAGCAACGTGCAGTCATTGAATTCTTGACAGAGAAGGTGACACCCCAAAGGAGACTCATCAGAGAATGCAAGCTGGTTATGGTGATTGTGTTGATGTGAGTACTGTGTGTTGTTGGGTGAGTAAGTTTAAAGATGTTGAGGTGGAGTTTCACAAGCAAAAGTTGACAGATTGATTCAGGACAATCATCATATCACTCAGATAAATTTCAAGCATAATCAGCATTTCATAAGAACATGTGGGTCACATTATTGCTTTGCTTGGCTATCGGAAGATCTGTGCACAATGGGTATGTTAAGAGAACTGTGAGACGCTGGTTGCAGAAACAGAATGTCGACTTCTTCCATGATGGCTTCAGAAACCTTGTTCATCGTTGGCAGAAATATATCCAATTGTCTGGTGATTATGTGGAAAAGTGAATAGTAGTAGTTAAAGAGCACATTCTAAGGATTATTTCTGCATTTGATTTATTAAAACATTCCCATTCAAACCTAAGTAACAAAGGTGGAGGCATTACTTTTCATTCAGCCCTTGTACATTAGGGAGATTGTATCCATGATTGACACTATTATGTTTTTGTTGAACACCACTGGAATTGTTGGAAATGACAGGAAAGAAAGTACGTGTTTGTGTGTTTAAATACAGCAAATTGGTTTGATCCTCTATCAGAATCAGCATCATGGGTCTGCATAGTACTGTAAGCAATGTCATCCTGTCAGCCGGTTTGCAATGTAAGGTATATATTTAATGTAAAACCAAACCCAACTCATGCACAATTGTTTAAACTGGGATTCTAAACTCTTGCTCTTTAGAACAGACTATGTTAAATTCAAATGTTCAGTACAGCCAGATTGTAAGCAGAGGTAGTTGTGCCTAGCTGCAATGATTCTGCTGAATTTAGACATGTGTTGTTGTTGTTCTTGTTTCGCTGGAAACCATGCAGGCACAAATTAACAAGCTATTGTAATTGGCTCATATTGCTTCCATTTTTCCTCCACTCTTGCAGGAAACTATGCCCCAGACGCCAATATTTTCCAGCATGCTTGGTTCTGGATGTAGTGGCCAAGTGCAGCCAGATACCGGAGAGCGGAGCAGCGATCCCATTTATCAGGATGGAAATCTTATATCTGGTTCACTGGAGGCCCTGATTGAGCGCCTGGTACCCACGACTGACTATTACCCAGATGTAAGTAGACAGTTGCAATCTTGCTTGTCTTGCTAGAAATTTCCTAGAAGGGGGCCTTGAAGTTGTTGTTGGAAAATAATACATTTTTTCACTATTTTTATGTAGACATAATTGCTTGTTTTCGGAAAAGGTTGTTGTTATTTGTTTTATTACAAAATTTCCTATGTGAACTTTATCTAAACTCTGATTTTACCTGCTTGAACCATTACACCATTTCCTGAAGGAATTCTGAGGCAGGTAGTTTGGAGGGACCAGAACTTATAAGAGGAAACTGCAACCACAAATTCTAAAATTATTTAGAAAAGTAAATCGGTTATGAAAACCGATACAGGCAGTCCTCAAGTTACAAACATCCAACTTTCAAACAACTCATAGTTAAGAATGGGGAGGAAACAACAGATGGTTAGAGAAATCTACCCCAAGAAAGAGAAATCCACTCCTGGAAGAGTTATGGTGAAAAGGTGCCTCTATTGAAACTTTCTTTGTTTCCACAACATGTCAGTTTTTTTCCAAATCAAATTATCACAGGGACTGTAAGTGAGGTGAAATCTGAACAGGGGCACAACATCAAACTAAACCCTACAGGGGTATTAACCTTTCCCTAGGCTACATAAAGCAGATACACACACACACACACACATACATACATACATACATACATATACATACACACTAATATATATATATATATATATATATATATATATATATATATATATATGGAATTACAGTTGCAAATGTACCTGTTCCAACATACATACAAATTCAACTTAAGAACAAACCTACAGAGTCTATCTTGTTTGTAGCTTGGGGACTGCCTTTATGTACTTGTAGTGTGATAAGTGCCAAGAGTCTGTATTGGTAGGTGGGTTACCAGATTTCTTTAGTCATCAGATCTTTGTTAACATTTTGAAGTTTGAAGCCTGTAGTGTTTGGAGAGAGATTAGAGAGAACAGCCTGCATTTAGATCCCTCATCAGCCATGAAATGTATTTGGCAGCATGCAGGTTTAGAGACATACATTGTTGAGATTTTTTCATTCTTTATGTAAATATAGGGAGGAAAAAAATAGCTTGACACATATTAGGTTTAACTATAGTTCAACCAATGATAGGAAACTGGAGAATTATTTTTAATTATTTGTTTATGTATGTTTGTATTTAAGGTTGTTGTTTAGTCATGGTAAATATGTTGGATCATTTGTTCAGTTATGCATTGTTAGGAAACATTGTCTAGGTATTTATATGTTTATGAATTTTCCTGTCTTTCAAATGTTTAGATTTTAAAAAAAATAGAGAGGGAGACCTTTATTTGGCAGCCTTGGGTAGTCACTGTGTCTTTTAAGTGTAGTTTTTAAATCTATTGAGAGAATGCAGTGTCTCAACTTTTTAAAAGAAAGATGGATGCAGTGCCAAGATGCGGAAATAAAATTGGGCAACTATGTTTAGATAACAGAATAAATAGAGATTGGTTGCATGCAGTGTTTTTAATATGCACATGTACAGACACACATACATATTAGGCTGAGACTTGGCAGTAGCTTAAGCAGATTGGTTTGCAGAGAAGTGGTACCTTGGTCCTTTTAGATTGGGGCGAAGAGAAATGTCAGGTAATGCGAACATTTCTATATCTCAGTTTGGTATGCCCCCCTTATTTTAGAATCAAACCTGTATTACCCTTCAAAATTCACTCTTTTTAATACATTCCTCCCACTACACATCTGACAATCGATGCACTGCAGGACTAAAACATTCAGCGGAGAATGTCAGAAATGTTCAGCTTTTGTCAAATAAATGAGGAAAACTTCTCAGAAATCAGCCTATAAACCAAACTGTGCTGAAACTGTAATTGCACTGTACTTTTTAGATGAGCAGTTTGCAAGGATTTGTAAACACCAGGAGGTAGCTCTTTCATTCAAGGCTCCCAAATCAATTTATTATTTCCCAAACTTGCAGCACTGTACATGCAAAGCAACAGACAAGTTTGCTTCTTTTTTCCCTTCAAGGTCCTCAATATTCCCCATGTATGTCAATGTGTGTCTGGTAAGCTTGAGCAGTGAGATTATTATTATTATTATTATTATTATTATTATTATTATTATTATTATTATTTACTGTATTTGTATACCGCCTTTCTCAGCCCATAGGTGACTCAAGGCCTTTAACAGGGCAAAATTCAATGCTTACAATGTCATAAATACAATTAAAAACATAACATATAATAAAAACTAAACAAATCAATAAAATATAAATTCATAGTTTCTCCTTGTTAAAAACGTTGTCTGGACTCATTGTCCAGTCATTCCATTTTCCTGTGTCAATTACTCTGCATTTGCAAATGCTTGTTCAAAAAGCCACGTCTTGACTTTTTTTCCCGAATGTTAAAAGGGAGGTGGCCAATGTAATATCTATAGGGAGAGCGTTCCACAGTCGAGGGGCCACCACAGAGAAGGCCCTGTCTCTCGTCTCTGCCAAACATACTTGTGACAAAGGTGGTAACTAGAGCAGGGCCTCCCCAGATGATCTTAAGGTCCTAGATAGTTCATAAGATTCAGAGTGCTCCATCCCACATCCTCTCCCTGAATCAGTTATTATTTTTTTAAATCCTGTCTTATTGTAAGTTGTCTCAGATCCAAGTTTTTCTTAGGACTCACTGGACTAGTGTGGATCTTTCCTAAGCAAAAGGGGCACTATGAATTTTCTGATCAGGCAAAGAAAAAAACATTATGAGATCGGTAGAGCCTGATGTGATTCCCCTCCCTTTATTTTCCCTACTGTCAGGAAAATTGCAACTGGGATTGGCTGGAGAGAGAGGGGGGGGGGAAGAGAGAGAATAGTTATGTGTTGTTTTATGGACGCTTGTTTGCACACAAGGAAATGTGTGTGCTCAAATACAGCAGCTTTCTGGAGGTAAGAAATGGAGTGTACTCAACCTGCAGCCATTTCAGCAAATATTCAAACAAGCAAAACATTTCAGATTGAGATGAGTGAGCCGTATGGAAAAATATTTTTGCTTCTTCCCCTAAAGATATCATCACATTCTTGGTCTTTAAGTAACAGTTACTATTTTAGTCTTTCTCGTTTACTTGCTCTAACTCTGTTCCAATCCTCCTTTAATTGAACATGTCTCTTAGCAACAAGTTTAAGAACTATAAGACTCCGCTTCAATCTTTTGCATTTTTTAAAAAACGCTCATCGGCTTATTATGTGCCTCCCTTTCCAAATCCCTGTCAGCTTCTGCACATGATATAGGGTATGATTTTCAAACCCTAAAGTTAAAGATTTCCTCTCATTTTGTTTGTATAATTGTAGCAGCTTGGAAGGCGTGCCAGTGCAGTTACGAAAATCATGGCAGTTACATGTGCCGCTTCCATGTGGGCATCCTGGATCACACAAATGGTGTTCTATGAGCAGGGTGCCTGCTGCTTGGAGGAAGATCACCATCTGGTGTTAACAGGCCCTGGGTTTAAAAGCTGGAACATTTGATCAGCTGTTGCAAACGATGACAGTTCTCTTCCTCTTCAGGTTGTTGTCAGTGATGAATGTGCATAAGCTTTTCCCAGTACAGGAACTTGGATATTGGGGAAATCATTCAAGCATTGTCCCTGACACACACGTTTCTGTTTTATTTTAGTATAGTGCAAAAATTTGCATAATGAAGTCCAATAGTATTTGTATATTCTTATTATATTCTACTCCAGTTATATCCTACCTTGATTATGTCAGCATATTTTTAATTTTAATCCTATTACATTTGGCCCGGCTATTGGTTTTAAATGTTTATATGTCATTTTTGATTGTTTATTCCTTCTTTGTTTATGTGATTTATATTATTTGTATTTTATTGAGTGTTTTATTGATGTTTTGTTTATTGATGTTGTTTATTTATGTATTTTGGGCTCATTAAGCCTCACCGAGTCCCTTGGGGAGATGGTAGCGGAGTACAAATAAAGATTATTATTATTATTATTATTATTATTATTATTATTATATGTCGAGTAGAGTAATCAAAAGTCATTTTGAATTTCAGTACTGTCACAAGCTATTTTAGCTTCTGGCTTCTTTGCCCAGTTACAATAATCATAAGCTGTTAAGAATGTAGAGGATAGAATATTCCATGGTAGATGGTGATATTATGTGTTCTGCTTTGAGCTAAGACTATGGGCCCTTCCAGACAGACCCAAATAGTGAAAGGAACCAGGATTTAAAATCCCAATTCCTTTTGGGATTTAGTCCACAAATTGGGCATGTGCAATTTGGGGAAAAACTATCCTGTTTTCAGTCCCATTTTCGACTAGACTCCTGTTCTGTTTTTTGGGAAGTTGCCAAAATCAGGAGGAGGTAAATGCCATTTCTCCGATCTGTAGCAAGAAGCTCCGTTTTTGCTTTAGGAAGATGCAATGGGGGATCTTCATTTATCAGGATGAAAATGGACAGACTTGGAGGACACATTTACCACCTCAAGCCCGCTGTTTCAGAATGTTTGGGTCATCCACCGAGTTTTAGGAAATGTTTAAAAGACAGAGATTCAAAGAGGTGAAGTAACAAGAAAGGTTGGGGGAGGGAAGGCTGCAAAACTGGTGCAGGCACAAACAAGCCAGAATGTAGGGTTGGGGAGGGGGTATAGCAGAGACTGAGAGTCAAAGAGGTGAAGGTGGGGGGAGGAACTTAGTTAAATTTCTTTCCGTCCTTTTATTTTACTAGTAATGTTGCTAAGAAGGAGTGGCCCACCCAATCCTCCATAGTGAAATTATTAGTAAAATAAAAGGACTGAAACTAAGAAAATTTAATGCAGAAAAAAAGGAATTATCAAAAAGTGATCCAACAGCATCACTGAGACACACGGTGTTAGTACATCTCTTCCTCTCAAATGCCAACTTTGCAAAAAGCCACGTGATCCACTTTCTTTTTCTGATTGGCTCTGGCAAGTCTGGGGGGGGGAGGACCCACGTGTGCTGCTCTTCTCTCGTAGCAGCTGAATACAGCCGAAGATCGGGGATTT